CGTTCGCTTGCTCCTCCGCCGAGAGTATTTTCGTTTCTGGCACGTCGCTGAGGCCTACATCGCGCGACACACCGTATGCATGGGCCTCGCTTTTGGCTCGCGCATTTTGCACACGTTATGTAACCTTCGTCGCCCTTAGTCGCGTGTACGACCATGCTCGTTAGGTGGTTTCTGCGATCGTTTCTAGAGACCGCGCCTTGCGGACGCGGAAATCGCAAATACGGCGATATTATACGCGCGCGTGTTTTTCTCGCCCGGTGTGCTAAATTTCGCGTTGACGTTGCTTGCTCGCCGATATAATTCCCGATGAGATGAGTGCTCGCGATCTCGCTAGGCGTGGTACGAATCTTCAAGCACCGAACATTGTGCGATAAAATATACTATATTATCCGATAATAATAAAATGTCAGATTAAACCCATAATTTCGTTCGATCAATGGCCAACCTTCGAAAAGAATCCGATAGTGAAAGTCGAAACTCTAGTTTTGCTGCTGAGAACAAATTTTATTATTACGAGGAGTGATGCATTTTAAGTTATACTTTATCGCACAAACATCAATAATTCAAAGCTCGTTCGTACTTGTCTAAATATCCTCACTTCTCATCTTCTTTTCTTTATGTTGATTTGGTCTGATGTGTCTGCGAAATCGTTTCTAAAGATGACGCGCCAGCCGATGTTGTGGTTGCCGGTGGACGATCGAGTGAATTTTTATTACTGGTGTACTACGTTCTTAAACTGGGCCGTGGCTTACTAGAGAAACTGGTAATGTGTCTATCGGAAAAAAGATAATTCCTTATATATGGCGAGAGTTGATGTGGAGATATACTTTTTAACGATTAACGATAAAAATAATCGGTGTCATTCGTGACCACATGATTATTTTCTCTCTAATATTTACACGAGAATTTACTTTATAAAATATCTCTCTCTCTCTTCGTTAAAATTAATTTTATTTGTTACCTTTCGATTAAGAAAGAAATATTCTGAAAAAACTAATATAAATTATTAATAAATCGTGCGTAGAGGGATTCTCTGTGACACTTGTTACATTTCTCGGCTTTAGTTAAATATCATTGCGATCGGGACCAGGCAATTATTAAACCGGCAAACTGTGTGCTCGGCCGTGTGTTTCTATTTTAATTTGGAGACACGAGGGAGGGGGAAAGGAGGGGAGTTAGCGGTTTTATCGGTCGACGAAAGGAAAACGCACACGTAATCTCGCGACTTACCGCAAATAAACGCGGCCGAATTCGCGCTGCGTCGACGAAGAGAAGATTGCGTAAGCGTGTGGTAGGCACGCATCGGAATGCGTATGCATAAGTGCGTGCATTTTCGCGCGTGCGATTGCTCGTTTCACGCGAACTTGAAAACTTACGCGATGAAAACCGAGTTGCGTAATGCGGAGCGCGCGCGACCGGCATCGATCAGCTGATCGAGAGGGAGAGAGAGAATTGTTTCGCGAGACGCCAATTTGTGCAGTGCCGCGCAATTAATCGACCCTTGATATAAAGCGGGTCACACCGTTATGGTAATCCACGCTGACGCGACTATCACGGCGACATTAATTGACATTGCGTGAATAAATATATATATATGTACATATATATATACGCATTCTCGAGGGCTCGATCGATCGAGTATTGCCACCGCGGGCGAAAAGTGGGTCGATCTTTGGACACGCGCGTGCACACGTTTGCGAATAATCGAGGGTGCGTTAATTCTTTTTTCCGATAGCGCATTCAAGATCGCAGTTGAGATTCGATTACCACTAACGATGGAGCTAAACATATATAAAGCTGTGTTGTGTACCGTGTAAACCAATTGACGTGAGTGATAAAACGAGATTAAATTTGCGAGATATAAAAATAGTAATTAGATTTTGCCAAGCGTGTTAGAGCAAGTTTGACGATTTTTCGCACGTTCTTTTCTTGCCAAAAAAAAATTTAATAGCTCGTGTAACGACAAAAATTTCTCACACGATACATATCTCGCACGCTACAAAACATATTAACAACGCGCTGCGCATTCCTACGATCCGCAGTTCGCGCACTGTATTTCACGGTGCATTAGAAAGTGGCGGTTCAAAACGAGCAGAGTAAACGCGTGTATATGCATCTATATATATACATACGTTCGTTTCCGACGCGTGCACGAGGCACGTCGTCGTGTCGGTTCCTCTCGTTAGCCGAGAGACGCGTAAACGCGCGTCGGCGCAATTATCGTTAACGCGATTGCGCAACGCTATGCGCTTTTTTCACGTTCGCGAGTCATACTTGGTTAATATTTCTTCTCGGCGAACCGCGGCGAAATTCCACAATTCAGTCCGCATGAGTTGTATGTCGAGATCCCGTTTGCAAAAATCGACCACGATTAATCAACGGCGGAAGATGATCCACTTTATCTTACACCGGAACGTTTAATTATTCTCGGATCACCGGTGCAATCAGGGTTCTCTCCCATTAGATAAAAAAAAGAAAAAAGCGATTTATTGCGCGTATCTTTCCGGAAACGTGGCGGACAATTTGATTTGTAATTTACGGCTTGTCGCGGCAGAGAACGAGGATAATCGTTAAGGCGTTATATTGATAATAGACAGCTTGATAGTGAGTTTATCGTGGGGCCGACGCTTTTACGTCTCTCTCTCGGCGGTTTAGTGCGATACGTTTTCTTACACGCGCCGGTTGTTCGCACGTTTAACGGCTTGCGTTATCGATCTTCCGATATATATTCGCAAACCTCCATAGACGGTAATCGCCACGGTTATTCCTGCCTTCCTGACTGATTGTTGAAGTATAATGAAGTTCCTGGTCAAGTATTACGACTTCCTGAACATCAGGTTCTCCACGGTGAGATCTTAAAGCACGACGTTTTATTATTGCGACGAGCGTTCAGAATGCGAGTGAGTTTTAAACGTCCCGGGAGAGACGAGTGTTTAAGATTAAATCGGTCGAAAGATAACTGTGCTTGATTTTTTTTCACGAAACGCGTTTTGCTCGAACGTCCCGGAAATGTAATTCTTTCCGATTTTTGATCTCTCGGGGTTTTATTATGAGAGAAAAATGGAGAATATATATGTACACACTTTTGCCTTGGATCTAAAGTACGGGGATTGACAGTCTGGGCATTTATCGATAATTGCACGCGAGCGAATGTATTTTTCTTATCGCGTCCGATAATGGACCGCTCATGAAATCCGACGACCTTTCAGATATCGCGCATGAAAGAATGGCATTATGCGGATTCCGCGGTTCATCGCAGCAGCCGCGAGAACGATACGTTGCAAATGTGTTATCGTGTCATTTGTCACACCTTATTTTCTTTCTCTTTTCTCAGCGCGCTTGCCACGATAATTGGATTTCTCTGAATGTTTAGGCGCGCGCGGTATCGCTAAAAAAATTCGGCAATCTTTTCCCTCCAACGTTATCGGAATCTCGGAATCCCCTCGTGATACATGACAATGTTTCTCCTCTTCGAGGAGAAACATTTGTGATCTGTCACTCTTCAAGGATATACGCCCGAGGTAAAGAACCGCGAGTATTCGATGTGTCTGAACTTTGGACGGATGAGAGTAAATATAAAAAAATGAGTATCAAAATTTTATTCATTTTTATTATATTATATGTATTAAATATCGACATCTTTCTGCATTTATCTGCATATTTGCATATTATCGTTCGTGTCATCGTGGACATAATACATGGAAATGACTCTATATGTATGCATATTATCGACTTGACATCGATGACTCACACGAGGAACCGCAAACCGATAAGACACCAAGATTTTTCACTGATGTCGTATGACGCTCCGTCGTTGAGCAAGAAATGCATCCGGAAAGTTTATTAGTCGGCGATATTATCGGTGTCAGTAGCGCGATTTAATGCCGCTGTTTGCTGACGTTTCCGCGTGTAACGTTGTTGCGTCATACGACACTGTTGTCGCATTCGCGAATTGCTAAAATTGCAACGAGACGACTCATCGGGTGGCCGATGAGTCGGACGGGTTTTCTCTATCGATTTCGCAAGTCGAATCGATATGTATTTTTCGACGAATTCCGCAGAAAGTGTTCTTGAAAGTTTCGCCCGGCATCGTTCCGGTTTGACCCATCGTTTTCACCAACATAAACATTTTTAGTGGACGCCGGAGTTTTATCGCCAATTAAAAGTGGAAGTGGCTCGCATATATTTCATTAATACGCTCTATAGTACGCCTTCTTTACACACAATTTGTTTTCGAGATAAAATGTAGCACACGCGTTAAGAATAATAACAGAGTTTGATGGCTATCTGGATATATTAATGTCTTGGCACAACATTTGGTGAAAGTAACGCGTGTGTTTAAAGCGTAATAAAGATGCGTTTATCATTAGCGCTTCGAATTTACCTAATTAATTGCTTAAAAAAGAATGTCATTCGAAGAGGGAGAGAGGAGAAAGTGTCCCTTGCGAGTGCATTACGTTCGCATAATCGAGGAGAGTTTTTATTGTTCCCTAGAGGAGCAGATAAATATCGATCACTTTTTCTTTTTTTTTTTTGTTTCACCCGGTATTGGTACCGCGAAATTGGCGAAGTGAGGTGACTTAATACCCCGTAACAGGATGACAAAGAGCAACGGATGATCACAAAAGCCCAATAGACTTTATCAGCGCGTCGCAGAGTGCACCGACATGTTGATGCAATTTGTCAGTCGTTGCACTTTATTGGCGTCTTTATTGGCCCGTTAGAATCACTCGACCGATGCTCCCTGTCGCAAAAGCGATCTTAAGACGCGTGCACTTACCTGCACATGAAACTTACACGTGTCAATCTATAGATATAGAAACGCGAATGAGAAACTCTGTTCAATAATGGAACTTTCCGTTTTCTTCTCCGCTGCTTTCATTTCAATTTTAATGCCACTTGAAAGAAATTCAATTTCTTATAGAATAAAATGCATGCATGCATAATAAAAAAATTAATGTAATGAAATTCTAATCCTTCTTTATTCTTTATTCTTACAGGTGAGTAGGCGGTCCAAAGAACACGCGACACAAGAGAAGGGAAGGGTGAGTTAATTTAAGTTGTTGTTAGAAATCTCGTAGTGTTTGACCGAGAGTTCGCGGAGAAATTCGCGACTGACAGCCGCAAAATCGTGTTCACACCCACGCGGCGAAACTGTATACATAGTCGATCGAAACAAACGTTGACAGATCCGTTCGATTAGCATGTAAGTCGCGTATGTGTTATGTCCAACAGGAAGGAACCATTTAATAACGCGGTAGAGGCCAACTCGCATCCGTCATGTATCGAATATCGCGGATAATTTTGCGATGAATTCTATTATTTGAGCTCGACGTGGTCGGGGACCGGACGAGACCAGATGTAATGTTGTTAGCGGAGTTTAAATTATGCACGAGGAGAAACCGATTGTCGATACCGATGCACGTACACCGTACACGTACATAACTTGATGAACCATGCAAATCTCGTTGTGTTATCGAAGGTTATTGCGAGAGAAATCGCGCTGGTCCCAAAGTGCGTCCGCGCGTGCGCTTTTACTAATAAGCATCCTTTGAATGTTCCGGCTCCTTGGAGATCGCTGTCGCAGGGTTATACATCTTGCGTTGGAGAGCAAAGGAACGGATTTGAAATTAGTAATATCTCTCTTTGTCCTTTTCACTCTTCTCTCCCGGGAAAATAACGAGTTTTACTTTCGCGCTCTGTGATTCGTTTCCTTTGCATACATTGATTTTCTCAATGTTCAACGACCGTAAAACTTTTCTTCTTATTATGCGGCGACGAAGTTAAATTTGCTGAAGTAATCCAACTTCAATTTTCAATACAAATAAAATTATAGAAATTCAATAGTAAGAAATTGTGGTCGAGAAACGCAGCGATATGACATTATCGCATCTGAATAAAATATATATACAAAAAAAAGAATTATATATGTATATAAATTCATGAAACTATCTACAATGTTAAATTGCGCGAGATAGAAATGAGGGCGGGGAATGCTCGACCGAGAAACGCGATCCCCGCTGGGTGCTGGGTTGGATGCATTAAAATTTATCAAGCGAAAGTGCAAAAAACCGTGTCCTTAGGGCGTGTTCGATATCAAAAGGCTCGCCTCTATCAATTATGTAAGCAAGTGGGTCAGAAAAATCCACGGTTAATTTTGTCGGGCGGACACTGCACGTGTTTCAATTAATCGAGTTCCTCGAAAATCAGCAAACTGTAACAATTAATCGAGTTCCTTGAAAATCAGCAAACTGTAGCAACCGATATCGATCGCATAGAGATTCGAGTTCCCAGTCGGACGGGATTTCCGCGAAAGTCTCCGGTGTGCAAAACATGTTGAATCGTGATGGATTTTCCCGGTACGAGAGGCAAGATGAAATGTTGATCTTCCGACCGCGCTTTCGAGTATCTCGAAATTTTGCAAGGGCGCGCCATTCGACAAGTCCGTAAATATGCTTCGAGCTGGGCCGGGTGTTTGTTCAGTTGCTCTTAAAACGTCGAGATAGCGGCCGCGGCGGCGTCTCATTAAAACCATCTCGCCGGTGGTGTCTCATTAGAGGCCGCGACGATGACTCACCAATACTCGCTCGCTTACTTTCTTCATTCTCTAATTGTCGCGACCGTTCAACGACGGCGCATGCGCGAGCAAATTTCTTCAATTACGCGGGTAATCGTGCGTGTCGTTAATTTCGTTGAAGTACAACGCGCGCCACTTTCACAGATCTAGGCGAGATGACACGATTCGATAGAACGAGGAGCGATAAATATGAAAAGTACACGTGTCTGTTCTTCTTAAAAGAACATTAGAGATCATTAAAGCTTTTTGTCCCACATATTTTAGAAATGAATCGAGCACGCGAGGCGCTGCGTCAAATATTTTGATAACGTATGTAATCAGCAATCGATTAGTATATGAGATGCGAATGAGAGGATGCGAGAATATCAGTGCTCCCCATTGTCGCGATGTTATCTTAACATCGTTAATTAACGAGAGTTAATGGCTCCGTGATCCGGGGCGCTCTACACCTGGAGTATGGAAACAGATCGTCGGGAATAATTTCGCAATTTTGGTAATCTCGCGAATGCAAATTAATTACTAGGCCAGTCCGGCTTCCAAACTGAAAGGTGGTGTTATAATCATTCCTGTCTTGTGGAACTCGGGAGATGCAAATAAACAAACAGAAGCCGACAATTAATGGAGATAAATTTTGTTGGACGTGAATATTTTGAATATATTGTACTTTTTTTTTATTAATATAGATTATTTCGCTCGACGTTTCGAAACGGATGAACTGTCAGAAACTAATAATATTTCGCCAATCAATCAAAAATAAAAATGGAGCCCGGGAATACATACATACATATATATATATATATATGAAATACTATTCAATACGTGAAAAAAATTATTTCCAATTTTATTCCGGATTTGATTGTCCCTTCCTAGTTTTTGTTGCGATTTTTCCTCACGTTCGCGCTCGTCAACGACTTAACGAGATCGTGGTGCGTTTCGCAACTAAGCTGCATACTGAATAGGAGGAGAGACCATGCGCTCGCTGTCCGCTCGTATATATATAAATCCTCCGATTGCGAATTCACGTTGATTAGACGTATGTACGCGTCCAATGTGATTATGCAGCCTTGACGCTTAATGGAATTTATAGGCCTGACGACGATGCGCGCGATGCACCGGTTCCACGTGTCCCGCTCGTTTATTGTCACGATATTCTATGGCTTCTCGATTATTTTCCACACACGTTTCCACACGAGAGAAAGAAGAGGGAGCAAGTTCGCGCCGCGACGAATCCAAGGTCGATGACGAATCGCATTTTCTTGCCTCGTTGATTTTTGCGACATGCATAATGTAGCGCGTGTTTTCCGCGCGAATCGCTGAAACGGAAAGAATAAAAAAAGGGAGGGAAAAAAAAAGAAGAAATTCACCATTTATTCCGAGAGCGAGCGAGATAAACCCTCGACACGGGGTTAACGGCTTAAGAGTGGTCGTTGTTGATAACAAGGCCGTTGTGTCGGAACGTATCGACGATGAATCATGGACAGCTTTCGCACATAATAGGACGAAGTCCGCGAATCTCGTTGGATTACCACCGCGATATATACATGTGTGTATGACACGCTGGTGATGGTGAACGTGGGCGTAGTGCAACGATTGGCAAATCTGATACGCGTAGGTGTGTGTGCGCACGCGCACGCGGATGCAAAATTAATCGTTCGCAAATGAAAACGGCTCGGCTGATTACAATGGTATCATCGCACGCGGATGCAAAATTAATCGTTCGCAAATGACAAAACGGCTCGGCTGATTACAATGGTATCATCGAAGCGGAGCTTCGTGTATTTCGACAGCACGTCCGTGTGTTCGCCCATCTTTATATTCAGCACGTGTGGATGGCATTCGTGATTTAACCCCTGAATTAAAGGAAAATGAAATAAAAGAATTATTTTTTTACTTCTCTCTCCTCTGGCGTATGATGAAGTTCTTTATCGCGATGTTAATTAACATTTATCTTCCAAGCTAACTTTTAATTGAACTTACACAAAGCTGTTGGAACACGTTGATGAGAAAGAGAGAGAACCCCTGAGAATCGACGCGATACTCGGCTATCAGCTGCGTGTTGTATGTAATATATATATATATATATATATATATATATATATATATCTGTATGTGTGTTTGCGTGTGTAAGCAGAATAATCGCAATAACCGTAGCGATATCGAAGCCGCAGGGAGATAGACGCGTCTCTAGAATGTTTCTCCTCTGGTGGTCTCTCGTGCGGCTCGTCTCGTTTTGAGAACCTTCGCAAATTCCTCTCGAGCGGTCGCTAAACATATTTACTTACATGTTTAAACTCACTCGATGCGTATCCATATATACATTCGTAGGCAGCTGCAAGTTCGTCACACTTTGACGTTTTTCCACCGCGAGAGCTTTTTCGCAGACGAGACCTTCGACTGCGCAACTTTTTCCACGACCAGCAAAAAGTGCCTGAGTACATTTCTCGCCTGTACATGTGCGCACGTAAAATGACGCATACACGCACATCAGGCAATGATGATAGTGTGCGACGTGTGGAATTAATAATAATATAATAATCAGACAAATAAGACACGGCGGAGAGGTTTTCTCGCTAAGTAGGTAGAAAATCATCATCGTCGGTCTTGCGTGTGTTTCGGAATTGCTCGATTTCTTCTCGTCATTCATTCGCGATGATCAATCATCTTCACGCAAGATTGTCACCGTCGTTATCATCGCCGGAGCGAAATTCGGTATCTGAAAATTTGTTCAGCATTTCCGACGAATTCAGAATTAAGCTTTTCAAGGGTAAAACGCGGCTATTTTTATTACGTCGCGCGCTTAATTGTGGGCACGGATTCGTGACAAGGATTGACTTTGTTGTGGTCGATATATACAGACTGCGAGAGACGCTTTGATGAACAGCCTTTATGACCAGCAAGGTGTTAAATCCTTTCCGGGAACGGTCGGCGGCGTTTATAAACCTGGGGAAGAGAAGGCATTTTGCGCCAAGATGAGGGCAAGCGCGCGTTAACCGTACATTGTCATCGATTCATTCATAAAAGCGTGCTTCCTCGAGGCACCCACGCCTCTCTCTCTCTCTCTGTCTCACCTCGTTGCCGTGGCAACGCGCGTTATTTTCATTCATTCATATGTCGCGTCTTACGCACGCCGGAGATTCCTTACGCGCGTGAGTCATCGGCGGCGTGACAGGTAGCAGTCAGTCAGTCGTTCATTGATCGTCATCGCGATCGCACGCGAACACTTTCGCCGCGAGATGATTGTGTAACGCTTCGGGAGAAAGAGAGAGATATCATTCGGATGCTGAGCCTGGACGCGATAAGGAGGAATGAAGTTCCACGAATGGCAGGAGCGCGCCGAGACTTGGCTAGGAGTAGGAAAGGCGCGAGAGAGATATTTTCAGGCGAGTATATACGCATATATAATACATACGTATATATACCGGAATTGTCGCTCGAATGTAGGACGGCGCGAAATTAACGCGCGGCAGC